TTGGTCTTGGTAAATTTGTTAGATAGGTCAAAAAATGTAGATTGATGGAGGCCATTCCTCACTATTTCAGTAAGCTTTACTTTCTTCACCTTCATGATTGTGACTGGGGAACTGATGTGTATATGAGACATAAAGGATGATGGGATTCAAAAGCCACTTGGTGTTTAGAAATTAACTATTATGCTGTAAATGAAATCGTGTCAGACTTTTTTTCCGTACTAATGACAGCACCGAATAAGCTGTTGAATGTGTATTTTGCTCCCAAAGAGGAGTCCTGTGCTCTGTACACTTTTCTTGCTGTGGCATCTATCTAGTCAAGAGGGAAATGTGTTGAAAAAAAGAGTTAGAACTGGGTGAAAAATTACACCGTAAGCATACAATGTGACTGCTCTAGAAGGAGGTGGAAGATGTTGGAGAGGAGGAATGAGAAGCATACAAAGAAGAGCAGTAGTGGAAATCTATCTGTAGTCTCTTCAGGAGAGAAAAGGTGGAAACTGCACCCCTTTTCTCTTCCTCTTCAAGTTCTCCAACTGGAATGGCAGCAAGAAATCTCTTAATGAATTCTTTACAACACTCTTTTCCCTTGCAAATTATGTCCTCTTTATCCTTGGATCTCTCTTCCCCTGCCATTTCCTCCGAGGCAACATCTTCTTTCGCCACCTTCTCATACATCAAGCTCGAGTCATCGAACTTTAAGATGTATGCCTGGCCGCAACCCTCAGAGAGTCTCTCACCTAGCGAATCAATGATATAATAAGCTTCGGCATCTACCTTCAACACGAAGAAATGATCGTTCCAACTCACAATATATATCCTCTGCTCATAATCGTTTGTGTCGCTGGTTATTTCTTGCCATATGTCATCGAAAGATGTGGCTCCCTTCAAGTTTTCAAATTTTTCAGGACTGAAAATCCCAGTAAAAGATTTCTCGTGTGAGATGGTCAAAGGCCGAAGATCAGCTTTCAAAACAGTTTCAAGATCAAAGTGGTTATCAGGGAAGGAATTCATGTAGGCCTCATTGTCGCAAAGCTTTCGCCATTCCTGTGAACCTTCTGTTATGAGGTTGTCAAACTGAGACAATGTTGGCATGAATTCTCGGTTTGAGTGAAGCCAATCGGCAATGACCGCAACTATTGCCGTGCAGGCACCCTCTCCGGCGGCCTTTTCACTTCGTTGATCAAAGGAAGCAAGAAACACGTTGGCTTCGAGTTTTGCTTGACCATCTCTGCTGACTAGTTCTTTGACTTCCCACTTGTCTTTCTGCAATAACAACAGTGGAACCAATTATATCTCAAACTTCCCCTTCCCGTAACTTTCAAATGCAAATGAGTTTGTCATAACAAATGACAAAATTAGGGACACGGTGACCATGATGAATTTTTTGTGGTCCACCATGCCATTATGCTCCAAGGCAAGTTCTCTCATCATTTCCAGAGCAACTAAAAAAGCTTGCATACTATTCCTGGACATGAAAAGTTCTTTCAATTGCTTATTTTGGATTGATTGAATTATGAAGATTTAACTTTTGAAACCGACGTGACACTACTATATGGGGGCATGTCTAAGGGTTTGGCCGACACAACACTATCAGAGATTCAACAAGTAATGCAGGAGTGATGGAGTATCTTAATATATAAAATAATCGAATGAACGGACACGGGTATTTCTGTGTCAGGTAATCTATGTACCTGTGTGGAATCGGATTTGTCCACCCCCGCATCAGTTTTCTCAACGAATGGCTCAACTGTCCTCCTGGACAAGCTGAAGCTCAACCTTCTCTTCTTCCATGAGAATAACCCAACCCTAGCAGCTCGGTCTGACTGAGTCTCCAATGATGAACCCAACTCGATTCCTGAACCCATCTCTTGAGTACTACCGTCGCTCGTGGAAGTCAAAGTTCCGGCCGAATCATCCGAGTCAAACATAGTTGACTCGTCCGAGTCACTAGAATTCACTCGGTTTCTTCTGTCCATTTCGTTCTTAGAAGCTGTATTGCCCTTGAAAAGTCCCTCCTTAGTACCTGAGTCACCCGAGTTTTGAACAGTTCCTGCTTGGTCATATGAATTTCTGACCTCAGCGAAGCTTACATCAATCTGTATGAAATGAAACAGTCATTGATTAAATATTTAAGCCAAGAGTAATTCAGATTATATTAAACAAAAAGGTCAATAGTAGCTACACATCACGTAAGTTACAAGGAAAATATATACAATGAAAAGGTCAAATGCTATGACTAATTGTTTATTTTAAATTTAGCTGTTTCATTGAAGACTAGGGCTTTCGATGGTTGAGTTTTGCTCTTTTTTTCCCTTTCCTTATCTGGCGAAACCTCTGCGTTATTTCATCTCAATTGGTTACTCAGAGCTGTGCTTTGGTTTTTTACTATATTTTTACAGCTAATTTTTCCATATCAATAAGGGAAGTGGTGCAAACAGCTCAGATATGCTGTTTCCATTTCACTTAATAACACCATTTCTCTTGTTTCTTTCATAGAATTGAACAGAGGGTATCCTAATCCTATCTATGGCATAGAATTTGGACACTCTAAAACTCTATTTTGATCGGGTTCTTACACCATCTTGGAACAGCCGATAACTATGAAATTTGTAGCTACAGATACAAGTGAATCAATGCAGGCGTTTATTACAAGTCAATTACGAAATGTTAGAGAGATTTCCTCTAAATCAAAACAGTTTGTGTAACTGAAGATCAGTTTTGATTGAGAAGAGGGAATCTCTCTGATCTTCAGTTATACAATGTTTTTTCTTTAGCAGAACAGATCAGCTACAGAATTTGGTCTGCAGCTGGAAATGAAACTTACCAAAAGATAAGCTTGGCAGTCAACTCCATCAAGATGTAAAGAAATTGGCAGCTTTTTTTCAATCTGGGAATTCATCCTTGAAGCCAATTCTGCTATATTCAGCGTAACATTTCCCAAGACTGCCATTTTAGCCCTGGATTTCTCATCCTCACCCTGCAAAAAGACCATCACCATTACCATTTTAGTCCTGGATTCATAAAAAAGCAAGGATAAACATGCCCAGAACAATTAAAAAAAAAGGACGTTATGCCAAAACAAGAAACTTACATATAAAACGCTGAAAGAAACATCCCACTGAACAAAAGAATTGTCTTTGGAAGGAGTCCAAACACTCTCAAATTCTTCACCATTCCATTCTATATCGGACTCCCCTTCCTTGAGGAATTTCTGGCTGCTATAATTTCTTTGGCACTTGGAAACTCGATAAAATGGAACTAATCCTGACGACTTGGGACCTTTCCATTTCATCTTGACAACAAAAACCCTTCTTTCTCTTCCATTACCATCAACCTTTTCTTTACATAACAATCCTTCTAGCTTCAATGGCCTCACCTTGACATGAACCTTCTTGGTTGTCCCAGCTGCCTGAATCCATGACCACTTCATTGTTATCTTCTTGTTTTGATTTCCTCCTCAAAAACTCATCATCCTGACTTGGTTCAGGCCTTGTTTGTTTGTGTGTGTGTGTATATATTTATAGGTTAGTCAAAGAGAGAAATGGATTGCTTAATGGAGAATGAAACAGCAAAGACTTGTTCTTTAATTGGCTCCATGACAGCTTATATATATATATATATATATATTTTCCCTTTATAACTACTACTTTTCTTGATTTTCCTTAGCGTGTGTGTTTCCGTGTGAGCTAGCCCTCCTTCCTGGAGTCACACGCCCATACGAAGTCGCGTTACTCTCGCTTGAATGAGTTTCTATTCTAAGCTTGTCATTGTTCTTTTTCTTTTTCTTTTTTCCTTCAAAAATTTGGAGGCTAACACGCTATCCTAAACTTGGATAATAGTTTTTATCTCAATATGGATATAATGGAAAAAACTCTCTCTCTCTCTCTCTCTCGCTATATATATATATATATATAGAGAGAGAGAGAGAGAGATTTTTCCATTATATCCATATTGAGATAAAAATTTAGAATATTCTTGATAAAATGACCAAATTAGAGTTTTGATAATCCCAAATCATGATCATGGTATGATTCGTATTTCAAGCTTTATACACTAAATTGATATCTTGTTATTATTTTTGGTTATCCAAGAGGACAAACAAATCTTGAATGACATAATAGAAGATAGTATCCTTGTTTTTAGATTGTTTTTTCTTCATGTCCTAAAATAAATAAATAAAAAATATAAAATATAAAAATATATCTAGTGGGAATAACAAAGATAAAAAATATAAATAAGTTCTTCAAACAATTTTGAAGTTAATTTATTTTCTTTTAAAAGAGTGTTTGAGAGTGCGATAAAGATTATTTTTAAAGTATTTTTTACTTGAAAATACATTAAAATAATATTATTTTTATTTTTAAAAATTTATTTTTAACATCAATTTATTAAAAAGACAAGGAAAAAACTAAAAAAAATATAATTTAAAGTAAAAAAGTTCAAATTTTAAAGAAAATTAGTTGAAGCTCAATGCCAAATACCCTTTAAATAAAGAGTTATAAAAAAAACATGTTTTTTTTTTTTAAATTCCATTATCTTCCTCTTTTCTGTTTTAAGAAAACAACCAAACACTCCCTTAATTCTCAGTCATTTAATATTACATATAAACAAAAATCTATTTGTTTTGAATTGTTTGGTTTAAAAGATAAAATTAGCCATTGCTTTTTTAATTACGTTTGGATTTCAAACATCATGACAACATGAGAAGGAATTTTATAATTTTAATACGAAAGGTAAAATATAAATAAGTTTTCACATTTAACATTTATAAAATTGGTAGAAATTCTAGATTTTAAAGTGGATGGAGTCATGAGGGCATGTGGGGTGGTGACACGTCAGCTCGAAAGCAGATAATAGTGACAGCGTGGTCTACGCGTCTAAAGATTAGGAGGTGTGAATTTTTAGAACAGAGAGAAGGCGTGGGATTTACGCGTATGACCTGTTATTTTTGGTCAACAAAACAATTTCCAAATCCATCACATGCTTCAATTGCTAAATTCCGTCTCTCTCCTCTCTCTATCTCTCTGGGAAAAAAAAAAAAAACTCTTGTAAATGCCTAATATAAACTTGTATTTGATAGCTCAAAATTAGTGTATGTTTAGTATTACGATGGACGATGTTTTTTAAAAGTAAATTTTGTTTAAATTTTTTTTTTATTATATGTATTTTTTTTTAATATTTACTCATAAAAATTTAAAAAAGCTAAAAAAATAATTATTTTAATATATTTTTAAATGAAATACACATTTAAAATACATTTAAAAATAGAAATTAACTCACTTCTAAACCTCTACCTAGACAATGTTTGTCTACAAAATTGGGTCTGCATCTTATTTAAAATACAAATACAATAATATTTGATAACAAAAAATAAATTAAATTACCGTTTATGGATCCCATGAAAATGTATTTATTTACATTGTTGCATCTGCGTTTTAAACAAAACGTAGATGCAAGAATGTTTGGTAAAAAAAAAACATAAATTACTATTTATAGGTCCCACTAAATTGTGTGTTTGAAACGTTAGAAAACGAAAGCAGGTGCTACCTGCTTCGTGAGGCTGCACCATGCTGCACTGTTCATTGAACAGTGCACCATCCCATGGTACAAGTGAATTTTAATGTAGTTGTATTGTTTACTTAACAGTGTTTTTTTTAAAAATTAGTTTATAGTTTTTTTGTTGAAAAACCAGTATAATTAATTGATTTACTCGCATTGTTCACGTGAATATAAATAATAATTTTTATATAAAAAAATTAGTTGAAGGTGAATTAAATTTATTAATATTGTAATCTCAATTTTATTCTTAATAATATTTTATCTAATTTTATTACACGCTCAAAAAATCATGAAAACTGTAGCTCTTGTGGAATAAGTTTTGTATGTGATAGAATTATAGATAATTTAATGGAATAATATCTTTTTATATATAAAATATTAATATATATTTTTAAAAATTATTTTATAATCTCAATTTCAAAAGCATTCGTAAACATTAAACTACTGTTTGTTCAACCTCAATTTTAATCAAATATATATTTTTTCAAACCAACCTCAACTAAAAATACTTTTTATAAAACAATTTTTTTTAAATCATAACCACAATAATTACCGTAATACCAAACACACTCGAAATGTTGAGTTTGAAATGTATGGAAAATGAAAGCATATAGAAGCTACTTCTTACGGCAGTACCACACTGCATTGTTTAGTGAACAATGCAACATCCCTTCGTATCTGTATTGTTTACTAAAATGAATAATTTTTTTAAAAAAAAATCAGTGAATAGTGCAAGTGAATTTTAATTTACTTGCATCGTGAATTTTTTTTTTTGAAAAAACCATTTAAGTAATTTTTTTTAATCTAGTGCAGTTAATTAATTTTACTCATATTATTTACGTGAATATAAACAATAAGTTTTTTTAAAAAATTAGTTTAAGATTAATTAAATTTATTCGTATTATAATCTCAATTTTATTCATGGTAATATTTTACTTAATTTTATTACACGCTCAAAGAATCATAGAAATTATAGTGCTTGTCAGATAAACTTTGTATGTAATGAAATTATAAATAATTTAATGGAACTAGAAATGTTTTTATATATAAAGTATGATTTATTTCATGATATAATAGCAATAATTAAATTTACAATATTTAAATTAAAAATCATAAATATTAATATATATATATATATATATTTTTTAAATTATTTTATAACCTCAATTTTAAAAGCATTCTTAACCAAATATATTACATTATTTTTTTTTCAATCTTAATTTCAACCACAGTTTTAACCAATTATATATTTTTTCAAACCAACCTCAATTAAAATTATTTTTTATAAAATATTTTTTTTCAAACTAAAACTACACCAACTACTGCAATACCAAATATACTATTAATAAATAATATTTGTTTGATATTGTGATAACTTTTACTTTCTAAAGTGCCTTTTAAAATACTTTCACTTAAAAAAATATCAAATTAATATTTTTTAAGTGTTTTTGGTTATTTTCATGTGTTAATACACAATATATATATATATAGACACACACTTTTGAAAAAACACATAATATAATGATTGATATCCTGATATATAAATACCAAAGATGGTTGGAGTTTCAATTGATGTCCCGTGATATTTTATTTGGTAACTAAGAAGTGCAAACATGAACATGGGATAATGGATATGGTAAAAAGAACTAGGACATGATACATTATTTTGGTAAAAACAGAGATTTTTTTTTTAAAAAAATATTTATTTAATTATTCATGTCAATTTCTTTTATTATTTTCAATCTCATCTAAACAAGGCTCTTTTTTTTTTCATTTTAAAAAATTAAGTATAATGAAAATGTTTCTTGATTTTGCTTACAGATATCTTTCATGCCCTACTTATCATCTCTCTGCTTTCCCAAGGGTAACACAAAAATTAATCATGGGATCGGTTTGTTAAGAACTCCACATAGAAACTCCATTTTATTTATCATTTCCATGCCTTTTTATCTATAGCTTCAATTTATCAAACACAAGTTAATGTCTTCCCAACAAAAATTAAAAATTACTCCGATTTATTTATTTACTCATTATATTAAAAACAGTATAAATTAAATCTCGGATTAAAACATATATCATAATTTATATTTCAAACGTTGGACAAAACAAGTGTATTGTCATTACAATATATTATTTTATTTTATCTAGTATTTATCGAACACAAGATATAATTAACAAATTATCCAATCAAATTCAATACATACTAATCATAAAACTTGATAACGATTTGTCTAGTTAGTTAATACTCTCACTACCTAAATGTTGGAGTTCTAATTTATTGCCGGTATTTCGGCATTAAATAATTATTTCTCTTCTTTATTTTAAAAATGAAAAAAAAAAGCACCACTAATTTAATTACCTGTAAAAGACTGTAAGATAAGATGGCACATAAAGGGTGTGGGCTGAACTTATATTTATTGGGCCAAGAGTTTATCTGGGAAAGATAGAAACTTTCCTTCTCTAGCTGCTGCCCTAGCCAAAAACTTCTCCTGATGGCTACCTGGATTCGAGAATGGAGTTTTCAATTCATCGAAGATATCGTGGATTTTTCTATTTTTAATTAATATAAGGCGGCGGAGATATTGTGGATTTTTTTATTTTTAATTAATATAAGGTGGGAAAAATTCATTTTAATAAATTTTTTATATAAAATTTTAAAATATAATTTATATTATTTTTATAAATTCATATTATTTTATATTTAATTTTTATTAAATAAATAAAAATAATTATATTAAAGAATTATTTCAATTTGTATAAATTTGTACAAGTTGTAACTTGAAAGGATATATTAAAAAATTATATAAATTATATATTAAAATTTGATTCATTAATTTAAATTTTTAGATTTATTTACATACTGTTTATTTTTTTATATAAAATATCATATTCTTGTAATTATGAGGTGTTTGCACTTTAATCATATATTTATTAAATCAATATCGTGGATTTTTTCAAGTATATAAAAAAAAAGCAACTGAGTCGATTTGGGAAAAATGAAAAATTGAGGGAGGTTGATTTTGAGATTTTTAGTTCAAGAAATTACAGGAAAGTAATTATAATTTAATAAATAAATTCAAGGGGCTGAACACGCACCTTCTGGGAAAATAAAATAATTAACTTTTGGTTTAAGGATTTATGCTCATCGTCTTCATTGGGAAAATTAATTTTAATATGAGAAAACACACGAAATCGTGATGCTGATTTTACTAATTAGAGCCACCGTACCATAGATTATGTCTAGATGCATGTTTCTTGCTCTATACTGCTTATTAAATATGATCCAGCATCACAGGCAGGTTGATTCGAGATTTAATTCGAATTGAGTGAATTTATATTATATGATTTAATTATAACTTGGTTAACTTGTGATTTAAATAATATTTTTTATTTTTAAAAAAAGTAAGGTTTTGACTTTTTATTATTAAAAAAAATTGAATTGATTCATTTATGGAGTTTAATATCTATAGATATTGATATTTTAAATGTTAAAGAGAGACTTCTAGACAACAATTTTTCAGACCTCTTACAATTTAATATATATATCTCAGACGACATTAGAAAGTTAATCCCCCAGGGGATCTTTCTTAAATTTCTTTTTGAGCTTTCTTTGTTCAAACTTAAAATTTTTTTGAAAGGATATTTGTAGTTATTTTTTAAATTTTTTTTTATTTTAAAATTTATTAAAATAATATTTTTTATTTTTAAAAAATTATTTTTAATATTAGTATATTAAAATGATTTAAAAAACCAAAAAAATATTAATTCGAAGTAAAAATTAAAAAAATCTAATTTTTTTTAAAATATAAAAATAAATAAGGTAAAAGCTTTAAAGGGTTTACCTAATACATTTTTTTAATGTAAAACTTGGTTGCAATGGGTTGCCAATATTTTTTTTAATCGAGTAAAAAATATTTTTTAATTTCACAACAATTGAAAGTTTAGCCAACCACATTGCACTCACATCACTTGCTAGTGACTTCTTTTCGTTACCTTCACGCATATAAAGGATTGATGCAGAAGATAAGATCCAATGTAGCTAATCAATGAGCTAAAAAACTAAGTAAAATATGTATAAATAAGGCATTTGCTTGGCTGAGAGTCAAAATCATAGGTAATTAGGTGGACTAATTAATGATCTAGACCTAAAAGTTCTTACCTGAAAGGGAAGTGGGTTAGTCAAATCTGCAGGCCTTCCTAATTGATCTTGTTTGAGTGGAAGTTTTGGTACTGCAGAAGTCAAAAACAAAGAAAATAAATAATATGAATAAAAATGGAGTCCAATTTCAAGCAAGCAACATGGTATGGAAGACTTCTTTATAAATAAATAAAAGTTGTTATTCTTGCTGACGATTTATCAAAAATATTTCTCATCTACAGTGAGTAAAAGGATGAACAGAAAATATGCTCAAAACCCTGTCTAAAAATAAATAAATAAATATTAATTAACAATTAGGGTGGAATACGTGTGCATGCACGATAATATATTTTTATATATATATTATTATTATTATCGTGTATATATCAATTCAAAATAATGCGGTTTTTATTCAATAAACTATACTGCTAATAAAAACATATGTTTTATGGAAAAAATACATGAATAAAAAATAATATTTTTTATTACAAAACATATTTTTTTTAAATTATTGTTTTTTTTCACGTATATATTTTTAATTACCATGTAATCAAATAAAAAAAATAAAAAAACACTCCACAATACAAGATCAAATATTTACATTTAATTAATTAATTAATTAATTAAGATCAAGAACAACAACAACATATACATATATCTATCTATCTATCTATATATATATATATATAAAAAAAAACACTAACAGCCCATGAATTCCTGTCTCCTTGCGATGGGGATCAAAACCGAGTCAATTCCTTCTGGCATCGATCTAGGGTTTAAATAATCCATGCACGTTGCCTTTCTATGTAGCAGAATAATACAGTACTAGCCGTATTTCAGGAGAAAGAAAGAAAAACAATGGATCTTCATTTTAGTTTATTGGATATTTGGATTCTGCAACAAGAAGATATCCAAACAGAGAGAAGATTGATGTGGGGGGAGGCCTTGATTTATATAATTAAGTAGAAGCTATCAAATCTGGATTATGATCATCCTTTTGGAGTCTTGTTCTTGGAGATTCATATTTTACATGGGTTATAAAGTCTATATATTCTTATCTTGTCTCTCGGTGATCCTTTACACGTCTCAATCTATGCATACCTGTTTTAGGTCTTGATTATTTTTTTTTATATTTGATAGTATTATAAAAAATAAATAGAAAAATATTTTTTAGTATTAGATTGTGTCATAGAAAATGAGTTGATAAATAATTTATTAATATTTTTTTCAAGTTTATTAAAATAATAAAAAATACATCTTACAAATTAAAAAAGTTAAATGAAAATGAAATTAAAAAAATGTAATATTATAAATTGTTTAAAAATAAATAAATAACAATAAAAAGAACAAGGACCGAATTTAATAAATAAAAAATTATAATTAAGAAAATACTAAGAGAAAAGCAATAACAATCATAAAAATAAGGACTAAAATTGATATAAAAATTAAATTATAAGGGATGAAATTAAAAAAAAAAGATTCAAAATAAAATATATATCAATCAAAAGTTTGATTTGATATAATCATCAAATAATATGATATTTTAATATTTTTTACAACTTTAAAAAAATATTTTCTAACTAAAATAAAAAAAATATATTTAAAAAAAAATTAAACTAAAGTTTCTTTTGATTATAATGTATTTTCTATTAACTATTTTTTTAATAACAAATAAATACATAAAAAATTAAAAAATTATTTTTCATAAAACAATCAACAACACATAGTTTTTCATCGTTTCTTCTCATGTAAGTGACAATGAGCACAAGAAGATAGGAACAAACTAGACTGTAGTAGTGTTTGCATGATTGCAGGTCCTTCTCATCATTTCTTCTTCTATATTTATAACCCAGAAACGTTCAAGGATCTTGGTTGATTTAATAAGCAAGAAAAATTAGTATTGACAACATAGATATGACGATACTCAAGAGAATCTGATGTAACGTTTAGAGTCTGACGCCATGTTTAACATGGATAAAATTATCAATGATTTTTAAACTTTAAAGTTACAAGATATAGCAAAATAGATAGAAAAAACACTAATATTATATGAAAATTTCAAAATTTAATAATTTGATAAACCAAAATTATGATCAGCGATTAGAGAATGCAATTTATCATGTTTATTTTTAATTTCATTGTAGTTAATTAAAAAAAAGCTTTATTTGCAAGTTTGAGTACTATAAAACTTGGGGCTTATATGATCTTTAATTTTAGAGCCTATAAAATTAATTAAGATATACACAAGCTAGTTTAAATATCCACGTTAATTAAAAAATATTAAAGGTCTAAGACTTTATTTTACTAGTTCAAGTCTCATAAAATTTCATGTATTGAAAAATTTACATAATTATTAACTTTAAAATTTATAAAATTAATTAAAATATATATAATTTAATTCAGATATTTACGTTAATAAAACAAATATTTTATCACAAACAAGCCAACCCATATCTCTCTGTCCTAAGTAAATTAATATATAATACGTTCTATATTATATTGATATCGTAAGTAAGTTACCATATTCTTCTCCCGGTTTTTATTATTATATATTTGCTACTCTTTTCTAATATGTTAAATAAATCTCTCATAGCTTAAATTAAGAGGGTGTCCTAATCGTTAACATAAAATATATTAACCTAAGTTCGAAATCTGCTGTCACGCAAGTTCTTCCCTGCCATGGACAGAAGCACGACAAGAAAAATTAAATTTATTTAATGGTCATTATTAATCAAAGTGCACCTTATATAAAGATTTGGTTGAGAAGATCAGATATATAAAAGCCTTGCTTTGTTCTTTTTATGTTGCGGGCACAATTCTGGAATTCATCCACAAGTAAACACCTATTATCGAAAATTAAACTATTAGAAATAGCTTATTAATTCGAGATTTTAATAACAATCATATACTTGCGTGCAATTTGGAGTATATAGAAATTTTTTTTTTTATAAAATCATACATTTTATTCTTATTTTAATCCATTAACTTTAAAATTATGAAATTCAGGCTAGATACACTATTTCTTAAAGAATAATTGCTTAGCTATATTTAAGGTTTGTTTGTTAATTTATAAAAATATCCCTTTTTGTATATATATAAAAAATAATATAAATTATATCCCATAAATTTATATAATAATTTAAATTATTGAATTGATATTAAAATCTTGATGACCAAATAAATACGAGTTTAAATTTTATTATTATTATTTATTTAATAAAAATTAATTTTATCTAATAGTGGATAATTCTTATTTTATTTGGGTACATTAATTAGTCTTTAAATATATGAAATACTTATTTATAAAGGACATTTATATAAAATACTTATTTATAAAGGACATTAATTAGTCTTTAAATATATGGAATACTTATTTATAAAGGACATTAATTATTCTTTAAATATATGGAATACTTATACACACGCACACTCTCTCTCTCTCTTAAGGCACATTAATTAGTCTTTAAATACATGGAATACTTATTTATAAAGAACAAGAAATTAATTACCATTGGAGAACTGAGAATCAGAATCCATACCGTTCCCTTAGCAAGGTGACAGCCAATTTCTGCACTTTTCTTCTTTTACCGTCTCTATTTCACGCAAAACAGTTCCAAATTATAGAAAAATAGGCAGATATTTCTTTGATATTTTCTAAAAAGCTTGAATTATAAATAAAAACACATCAAATATTTATAAAAACCGATCAAATTAAAAGAACCCTAATCTAAACAGAAAACATGGTTAAAATCTAAAATTAACTAGAAAATCATTAAAATAATAAAAAAATGGCCTGGTAAAAACCAATTAACTTAATCATGTTTTGAATTATTTAATTAATCTGATTAAACCTAATTAATTTAATACCAAGATATTAAAAAAATAAAATAATATTATTTTAGTAAAAATAATTAGTACCAGAAAACTTTTCAAGTTAAATTCACTTTCAGGTTTGCAACTATAATTGAAACAGTTTTATAATAAAAAAATTGTAGAAAAATTGAAAAAAATTGACTCATCGTCTAAGAACACATCTCAGCTCACACATTTTTCCACTTCAACAATAGAAATTTCACTTGGGTCATTTTGCAAGCCTAAAAATTAATCCCACGGCACCGCCTCATTCAAGTAGTAGAGTATTTAATTTTAATTTTTTTTATTAATTTTTTATATATATTTTTAGATTGTTTTGATGTATTAATTTAATAAATAATTTTTTAAAAATAAAAAAATTAATATTTCTAAATAAAAACATCTTAAATTATAACACTAACACAATTCTAAACATATTCTTGCCTTGTAATCCAAAAGCTATTAAAATTCTAGAATAATAATTTTTAGATTATAAAGTGCTTAAAAATTAAAAGTTATGTGATGGTTGTTTTTTGGTTGTTTTAGTTTTTATTTAAAAAAATTAAAAGCTATTTAAACTAATCGGTTTTAATTTGGTTTGATTATTTTGAGAAAAAACTATTTTAAATCGGCGAGCTTGATTTTTTTTAATTTAGCTTATTTACTCTGATTGATTTTGGTTTGGTTTTTTTTCGGTTTAGGTTTAGTTTGGTTTTTTCAATTTTATACTTATAAAACTGAAATTTATTTCATAGAAAATAAGTTAATAAATAATTTATTAATATTTTTTTCAAGTTTATTAAAATAATAAGAAATAGATGTTACAAATTAAAAAAGTTGAATGAAAATAAAAATGAAAAAAATCTAATATTATAAATTGTTTAAAAATAAATAAATAATAATAAAAAGCAAGAACCAAATTTAATAAATAAAAATTTAAATTAAAAAAATATTAAGAGAAAAGCAAATAACAATCATAAAAATAAAAACTAAAATTAATATAAAAATTAAATTATAAGGGATGAAATTAAAAATAAATAAATAAAATATATAGCAATCAAAAATTTAATTTGATATAATTATCAAATAACATGATATTTTAATATTTTTTAGAACTTTAAAAAAATGTTTTTTGATCAAAATAAAAGAAAAATATTTTTTAAAAAAATAAACCAAAGTTTCTTTTGACTATAATGTTTTTTCTATTAACTATCTTTTTAATAACAAACAAATACATAAAAATTTAAAAAATTATTTCTAAAATATTATTTTTCCTGAAACAAACAACAACACATAACACATAGTTTTTCATGGTTTCTTCTCATGTAAGTGACAATGAGCACAAGAAGATAGGAACAAATAAGACTGTAGTAGTAGTGTTTGCATGATTGCAAGTCCTTCTCATCATTTCTTCTTCTATATTTATAACCCAGAAACGTTCAAGGATCTTGGTTGATTTAATAAGCAAGAAAAATTAGTATTGACAACATAGATATGACGATACTCAAGAGAATCTGATGTAACGTTTAGAGTCTGACGCCATGTTTAACATGGATAAAATTATCAATGATTTTTAAACTTTAAAGTTACAAGATATAGCAAAATAGATAGAAAAAACACTAATATTATGTGAAATTTTTAAAATTTAATAATTTAATAAACCCAAATTATAATCAGGGATTAGAGAATGCAATTTAGCATGTTCGTTTTTAATTTTACTATAGTTAATTAGGAAAAAAAAGTTTTATTTTGCAAGTTTGAGTCCCACCAAATTAGAAATAATTAAAAATTTATATGGTTTTTAATTTTAATGTCTATAAAATTAATTGAGATAAGCTAATTCAAACATTAATATTAATAAATAAATAAAAATAAAAGTTTAAAGCTTTATTTTACTAGTTCGAGTCCTATAAAATTTCAAGAATTTAAAAATTTATATTGTCATTAATTTTAAAATCTATATAATTAATTAAAATACATGTAATATATTAATATTAAAAAAAAAAAATTTGTCACAAACAAGCCAACCCATATCTCTCTATCCTAAATAAATTAATATATAACACGTTCTATATTATATTGATATCGTAAGTAAGTTACCATATTCTTCTCCCGGTTTTTATTATTATATATTTGCTACTCTTTTCTAATATGTTAAATAAATCTCTCATAGCTTAAATTAAGAGGGTGTCCTAATCGTTAACATAAAATATATTAACCTAAGTTCGAAATCTGCTGTCACGCAAGTTCTTCCCTGCCATGGACAGAAGCACGACAAGAAAAATTAAATTTATTTAATGGTCATTATTAATCAAAGTGCACCTTATATAAAGATTTGGTTGAGAAGATCAGATATATAAAAGCCTTGCTTTGTTCTTTTTATGTTGCGGGCACAATTCTGGAATTCATCCACAAGTAAACAATTATTATCGAAAATTAAATTATTAGAAATAGCTTTTTAATTCGAGTTTTTAATAACAATCATATACTTGCGTGTAATTTGGAGTATATAGCAAAATATTTCTTTTTATAAAATCATACATTTTATTATTATTTTATTCCATTAACTTTAAAACTATGAAATTCAGGCTAAATACACAATTTTTTAAAGCATAATTGCTTGGCTGTATTTAAGGTTTGTCTGTCAATTTATAAAATTATTTCTCTTTGTATATATATATATAAAATAATATAAATTATATTCTATAAATTTATATAATAATTTAAATTATTAGATTGGTATCAGAATTTTAATAATCAAATAATTACGAGTTCAAATTTTATTATTATTATTATTTATTTAATAAAAATTAATTTTATTTAATAATTTAAAATATCAAATTGGGATGATTCTCATTTTATTTGGGAATATTAATTAGTCTTTAAATATACGAAATACTTATTTATAAAGGACATTAATTAGTCCTTAAATATATGAAATACTTATACACACACGCACACTATCTGTCTCTTAATGCACATTAATTAGTCTTTAAATATATGAAATACTTATTTATAAAGAACAAGAAATTAATTACCATTGGAGAACTGAGAATCAGAATCCATACCGTTCCCTTAGCAAGGTGACAGAACCGTCTCTATTTCACGCAAAACAGTTCCAAATTATAGAAAAATAGGCAGATATTTCTTTGATATTTTCTAAAAAGCTTGAATTATAAATAAAAACACATCAAATATTTTTAATAACCGATCAAATTAAAAGAACCCGAATCTAAACAGAAAACATGGTTAAAATACAAAATTAACTACAAAAATCATTCAAATAATATTTTCTAAATAAAAAAATGACCTGGTAAAAACTAATTAACTTAATCATGTTTTGAATTATTTAATTAATCTGATTAAACCTAATTAATTTAATACCAAGATATTAAAAAAATAAAATAATATTATTTTAGTAAAAATAATTAGTACCGAGAACCTTTTCAAGTTAAATTCACTTTCAGGTTTGCAACTATAATTGAAACAGTTTTATAATAAAAAAAAATTGTAGAAAAATTGAAAAAAAATTGACTCATCGTCTAATAACACATCTTAGCTCGCACCTTTTTCCACTTCAACAATAGAAATTTCACTTGGGTCATTTTGTAAGCCTAAAAATTAATCCCACGGCACCGCCTCATTGAAGTTGTGGAGTATTTAATTTTAATTTTTTTATATATATTTTTAGATTATTTTGATGTGTTAATTTAACAAATAAATTTAAAAAAATAAAAAACATTAATATTTTTAAATAAAAACATCTTAAATCATAAAGCCAACACAAGTCTTGTGTTACACTCCAAAAGCTATTAAGATTGTTAGATTAATAATTTTTAGATTATAAAGTGGTTAAAAATAAAAAAATAGTTATTTTTTAATTGATTTAATTTTTATTTAAAAAAATTAAACTTGTTCAAACTAATAAGTTTTAATTTGATTTGGTTATTTCAAAAAAAAACCATTTCAAATCATATAACTTTTTTTTTTCAATTTAGTTTATTTGTAGCTTGACTCTGTTTGGTTTTGGCTCGATTTTTTTTATTAGAGTTTGGTTTGATTTTTTCAATTTTATTCTTATAAAACTGAAAAAAAACTAGCTGATTTTTTTTAAATTTTAATCAGTTTAATAGATTTTTTATAATTTTATTTTATAATTTTTTTATTTTTTTATTTTCTTGATTTAATTAATTTTTTTCACTTCTAATAATACAAGAATTTATTATTTTGATATATTAATATTTAAAATAATTTTTTAATATATTTTAAAATTTAAAAAAAAATAAGAAATATCATCTACTCTCTGTACTCATGTAACCTTTTTGTACGTCTTGTCATTATAAAAAGAAGCATTTCACGTTGGATCAATAATTCAACATTGGACAACTTTTAAACCGTACAGAAGTGTGAAGTGATGCTTGCATAATTAATTGTCAATGGAGCCCTCAACTATAAATCGAAGAAAGAAATAAGGACGTAAAATTATTTTTTATGGAAGGAAGACTAGGACGGTTACCTGGATTGGATCTATCAAACCATTTGTAACCATCCATAGTTTGACGTTTTGGAACTTCGAAGAAAAAATCCATATCAACTCAGATCTCTTCGAAGACTTTTCAGCTCTTAGACTATTGATGACACGGGCATTGCATACACAAAACATTTTGTTTATAGAAGCCAGCCAGCCAGAACAGATAAGACTCATGTTTGCAGGTCCTCTTGTCTCTGCAACAACAACAGAAATGAGGTATTAGCTACACCTACCAACCTCTCTGTTTCTCCAACACTTCACGTTTCTCGTCCTTTCAGCTATTGCTCAACAAAAGAACTCAGCTTTCTTTGAATCTGCACCCCCTTATCATCTTTCACATATTGTCTGTCGTACAACGATGTTGGTCTGAATTTATGGTCGATTTGAAGAGTGCCCATCAATGAAAATTGACGGTTCTCTTCCTCCTCCTTTGGTACTTCTCAAATTTCATACCTGAAAGGTACCCTTCAATCAGCTGTCATTCTTGATTATGAATTTGGCGTTTCTCATGGGTGGTCCTGGGACTTGAAGTTGTCTACGTACCCTGTTCTTGAGGGTACATAGGCTGTGTCTATTGGCCTGTTTCCTTGACTGACCATTTTGGTTTCTCTTTCATTTTGATTTGGTACCCTTTCAATCAGCTGTCATTTTGTCCAAATTGAAGGGAAGAAAGTTTAGAAGAGGGGTCATCTTCTTTCACATATATTCATGTTGAATTTTTTGTTCATACAATTCTATACTTTAGAATTCAGTTGCCTAGCGTTATCCTTTTCTTCTGATACCTGAAATTGTCCTCAACTTGGAATTGTTAGCTTTAGATGTACAGCAACCTGCTTCCATGGTTCAGCTTGTTTCTGTTGGGAGTACTGATTCTAGATTCTTTGCAGAATGTAGAGTTTTGTCATTGGTTTGTATAATATAAAATGTCCATCAAAGCCCTTTTCTTTGTGTCCTGGATTTTGGAGCTGAATTCTATTCTTTTGTTCAGTTAATTCGCCCTCCTCTTCTTGTGTGGTTATGGCCCAATGGGGTTTAGTTCGCTTCATGGGGTCCATTTCAGTGTTTGTCCTCCTTTTTCCTGGAGGTTGCAAGGCTGGTATCCAAAGTGTGGGCAAGATCTATCCAGGGTTACAAGGGTCTCAAATGACTTGGATCAATCTTAATGGGTTGTTTCTTACATCTAACAACTCGGATTTCGCGTTTGGCTTCACAACTACTGAAGATGTTACACAATTTCTGTTAACCATCGTCCACTTGGGTAGCTCGAAGGTCATATGGTCTGCAAATAGAGGCTCTCCAGTTTCAAATTCTGATAATTTTATCTTTGGTGAAGATGGTAAGGTCTCTTTGCAGAAAGGGGAAGATGTGGTTTGGGCAGCTGATACTGGTGGCAAGAGGGTTTCTGCAATAGAGATGCAGGATTCAGGAAATTTGGTTTTGCTTGGGAATGACACTAGTGTACTGTGGCAGAGTTTTAGCCATCCTACCAATACACTCATATCAAACCAGGATTTTGTAGATGGAATGAAACTTGTAAGCGATCCCAACTCCAATAATCTGACCCATATCCTTGAAATCAAGTCCGGAGACATGATTCTTTCAGCAGGTTTCCAAACTCCACAGCCTTACTGGTCTGTCCAAAAGGAAAGACGGATAACCATCAATCAAGGCGGTGGAAAAGTTGCCGTGGCATCTCTCAGAGGAAATTCATGGAGGTTCTATGATGGAAACAAAGTGTTGCTGTCACAATTTATTTTCTCAGATAGTGTTGATGCAAATGCCACTTGGATTGCAGTTCTAGGAAACGATGGTTTTATATCTTTCTACAATCTTGATGAAAGTGGCGGAGCTTCACAAACAAAAATACCAAGTGATCCATGCAGCAGACCAGAACCTTGCGATGCACATTTTGTTTGTTCTGGTAACAATGTATGCCAGTGCCCTTCAGGTCTTAGTACCCGCTCAAATTGCCGGACAGGTATTGTCTCTACCTGTGATGGTTCACATGATTCTACAGAGCTTGTAAGTGCTGGGGATGGGCTCACTTATTTTTCTCTGGGGTTTCTTCCACCCTCTTCGAAAACCAATATGGAAGGTTGCAAATCCGCTTGCCAGAGTAACTGCTCATGCCTTGCCTTTTTCTTCCAAAACAGTTCTGGGAACTGCTTCCTGTTCAGTGACATAGGAAGTTTCCAGAACTCTAAGGCAGGCCCTAGTTTTGTTGCATACATTAAAGTTTTGAGCGATGGAGGCAGTGGTTCCAACGCTGGAGGGGGTGGAAGCAGCAAAAAAAGCTTTCCAATTGTTGTGATAATAGTCGTTGCCACATTGATTACCATTTGTGGTCTACTTTATCTGGCATTTCGTTATCACAGGAGAAAGAAGAAGATGCCGGAGTCTCCCCACGAAACCTCAGAAGAGGATAACTTCTTAGAGACTTTATCTGGGATGCCGATCCGTTTTAGTTACAGAGATCTTCAGACTGCAACTAATAATTTCTCAGTGAAGCTTGGACAAGGAGGATTTGGCTCAGTTTATCAAGGAGCTCTCCCAGATGGAACCCGACTGGCTGTGAAGAAGTTGGAAGGCATTGGTCAGGGAAAGAAAGAGTTTCGAGCTGAAGTTAGCATCATTGGTAGTATCCATCATCACCACTTGGTTAGGCTGAAAGGCTTTTGTGCTGAAGGAACTCATCGCCTCCTCGCTTATGAGTTCATGGCAAATGGCTCTTTGGATAAATGGATCTTCAAGAGAAACAAAGAAGAGTTCCTGTTGGATTGGGAAGCAAGATTCAATATTGCTGTGGGAACAGCAAAAGGACTAGCTTACCTGCACGAAGACTGTGATGTAAAGATCATTCATTGTGACATAAAACCGGAGAACGTGCTTCTTGATGATCAGTTTCTTGCCAAAGTCTCAGATTTTGGCCTGGCTAAGTTAATGAATCGAGAGCAAAGCCATGTTTTCACAACATTAAGAGGCACCAGAGGGTACCTTGCACCAGAATGGATCACAAATTATGCTATATCAGAGAAAAGTGATGTTTATAGCTATGGCATGTTGTTGCTTGAGATCATTGGTGGAAGAAAAAACTTCGATCCAACTGAATCTTCGGAGAAGTCCCATTTCCCTTCTTATGCATTCAAGATGATGGAAGAAGGGAAACTGAGGGAAATCCTTGATTCGAAGCTGAGGTTTGACAAGGACGATGAGAGGGTCTCCACGTCTATCAAAGTTGCGTTATGGTGCATACAGGAAGATATGCATCTCAGGCCATCAATGACCAAAGTTGTCCAAATGCTTGAAGGTCTCTCCCCAGTTCCACTGCCACCTACTTCATCACCATTGGGCCCTCGCCTTTATTCGGGTTTCTTCAAATCTCTAAGTGGGGAAGGCACTTCCTCAGGACCATCAGACAGCAATAGTGATGCCTACCTCTCTGCAGTACAGCTTTCTGGCCCAAGATAACATTCGCTGACTGTTGGTGGAATTCTTTTGTTTAGATGTAGAATTGAGCTGTTCCTGCGTGTGTTTCCCGTCAGGTTCTTGTATATTTTTTATATTACTTGAAAGTTTTGTAACTCTAGCCATTGGTAAAGCTTGATCACTTGTAAGTTGATCTGTAAATGAAGAGTGTTGATTAAGACTAAGTGATCAGAGAATTTTGACTCGAAACTTTGAATCCCGTCTTATTTTTAACTAGATTCCAAGATTTCAAAGAAGGGACTAGCTGTAACTGATAAAAGTTAGGAGAAATGATTGCCCAATCTTACAGCCAAAGTTTACTGGGCATACACAATCATACATCACCGTTCTCGTTGGGAAGAAAACTCATCTCCAGAGTTTTCCTTTAATTTTGGTTTAGTTGCCTTGTTTTTCCCCATTGTCTGAATGTTCTCAAGCCTTGTACTTCCTTCGGCTGGACCCTAGTCAAGCCATCAATGACGAATTGACGAGAAAAATTCTTTCAAGCAAAGCTCAGACCTTAAGCCAGCAACCAATAAAAACACCAAGCCTTACACTTGTGTAAGAAACTAACCAGTAGGATGGATCATTATCTTTCCAACTTAAAGACCTCCCTGCACTCCACAGAGAAAAACAATAGCATTCTCTAACATCATCCATCAGAGATGGGTTCCTTAACTATCCTCAACACCACCAAACCAAACCCTCCTCTTCTCTTCAAGAATTCAAATTTCCCACCAAATCGCAACGACCCTTTTCCTCAACGGTCAAATTTCGAGCCACGCCCCTCAAATCCTGTGCTTTTCCCTCCAGCAACAGTGATAATGGCTCTGGTTAATTACCTGTTTGCTGCATAAGCAAAACCTCTTCTTCTTGTTATTTTCCTGTTCGAGAGCGTCTTAGTTGGTTAATGGATTCAAAATAGGATGTTGATCGAGTCTTATTCGTCTGCAGGAGATAGAAATGATTGCTTGTCAAGTGGAAGGGCATTGCTTGTCTGTATATCAACATTACCTTTTCAATTGGGTCCGCATGAATCTGTTGACGATTTTGATGCTAAAGCAACCCAGAAAGTTTAATGAATAGACAAGTAGTTGTTTTGATTTGGATTTGTGTTCTCTTTCATTCTGAGTTTTAGATGATTTCAGCGGATAAGAATTGAGGCTTCAACTGGGGTCCTTGATTAGTGGTTGCTTAATGGAGTTATTTGTGTTATTCAAGTGCGAGTTATTGCATTCTTGACATGTAAATTATCCGCCTTGATATCTGCTCTTAAGCTGAGCTTTGCGCTTGAAGATGCTCTTTAATCTGCAAATGCCTCGATATCTGTTCTTAAGTTGAGCTTTGCGCTTGAAGATGCTCCTTAATCTGCAAATGCCTCTCATTGCTTTTCACAGGGGGTGATATCCAAGTAGTAGTCTAGAGATTGTTATATCCTTGAATTGTTGCAAGTCATTTTGAGGCATATTTGAAAGATTTATTATTGCTTTTGACAATAGGTGATGGCCTAGTAGTTTTACGAGACTGTTGGTATCTCTGAATTCTAACAATTCCTTATAGGATAAAGTGAAAGACAACATCTCAGTTTTAAATAATCTATAATATTCTTTTTCAAACTTGAACAATGTACCTAAATTCTTATAGACTACTGTATATAAATCTCGTGAGTTCTAAGTTTAATTATAATTTTATTTGTTAGTTTAATATAATAATTAGTTGGGTGTACGTTGATATTATATATAAAAATGATGAACTTGAAAATTATGAAATATTATTAGATGAGTATATTTAATTTTTGAATATAAATTAATCAATTAATAAATTAAATATTTATTGAGAATTATTATTTATATTTCGACCAACAAATTCAATAAGTCACGTATACTAAGAATATTAATAAAAAATTAAACTAAAATAATTAATTAAGTATAACTTAATTGAAAATAATTTTAGAAATTAAGTAATAGAATATATTTAATTTAGTGATTATAATTATAGTTATGAAATAATCAAGTAGGGATTTGATTAAATAAATTTCTAAAGTTATTTTTAAATAATATATGGATATTATAAATAATTTTAGAAATTAAATACTAGAATGCTATTTATAGGGTTTTTAAGATTCTCTATAAATATAAAATTGTGTCTTATTTGTTAGACATAAAAATTATGTAAATCATAAAATAAAAAGCGAACATTCTATGCATAGTAATTTCTCTTTTCAAAGTAGGAATTTAGAAAAAAATTTATTGATAATTTATAAAAATTATTGTTGGAGACCGAACAGTTGGATAACTTGTGAAACCGAAAAAGATCATATTTTTAATTAATAAATTCTTAAACAATTCTATATCCATTTATGTAAATTATAAAATAAAAATCTAACACCCAAAGCATAGTAATTCCTCTTCTCTAAATAGAAATTTAAAAGATTCTTTATTAATGATTTACGAGAGTTACTATTAAAGATCAGACAATTAAATAATTTGTGGTTTATAACAACGTAGTTTTTAAAGAATTATTCAAAGTAAAAAAAAAAAAAATTTTCATGTAATAAATCTGTAAATAATTTTATATTTATTTAACTAATTTCTAAAAACTTTTAAATAATTTTATTTTATTATTTTTATTGTGCGTATCATATTCAAGAATTCAGCACTATAATAACTAATCTTGAGTTGAATATTTGCAAACATATATTTATCTTTCATGTCTTCTTCTTCTTTCGTAAGTACTTATTGAAATACAAAGGGGTTGTTAAAAAACAGAGTAATGCACCAGTTTTTGGGAAAACTAAGAGTAGGAAAAATAAAAAAACTGAAACTTTACGTTTAAATGCTATATTTCACCATCTAGAAAACTAGGAGTTGTTCGTAAATAGAACAATACCTAAATTTTCTAGAAAATTAGAACTACATATTCAAATACAATATTTTTCCACCTAACAAACTAGAATACGAGCCTTCTAGCTTTCCAAATTTATACCAAGTTTGAAAAATATATTTTAGAGGTTCTTCATTATTTTTAAACACATTTTTTTTCATATTTTTTAATATAAAAATATATTTTAGAGGTTCTTCTAGCCTTTTTGCATAAGGTATTTGTATAAGTGATGAAATCTGCTTCCAGACCCTGACTCGAAGAGTTCTCTTATCAGTTTGGTCGTTGGAATAGCATGTCCTTATTAGAACCATGGAGCTTTTCCTTTTAACATCATTCTTCCTTTCAATTATTTAGAGATGGAGTGTAGTTGTTTTTAAAATTATTTTTTATTTAAAAATATATTAAAATAATATTTTTTTATTTTTTAAAAAATATTTTTAATATAAATATATCAAAATAATTT